CTCTGTGCGTCACTCTGACCTCTGCGCTGTGCGTCACTAAAACCACTGCACTATGCGTCATGCTGACCTCTGCGTTGTGCGTCACTCTGACCTCTGCGCTGTGCGTCACTCTGACCTCTGCGCTGTGCGTCACACTGACCTCTGCGCTGTGCGTCACACTGACCTCTGCGCTGTGTGTCACTCTGAGTACCTCAGGACTTGAAATTTTGAGCCCTGCCCTACAGTACAGGATCTACGATCTGTTGCCCTGTGTCCTTCAATGAACGGAAGAGAAAAAAAGATTTTCTTCTAGAGACTTTTTAAATCCTCTAAAACCCAGGACTTCTCCAAAAAGTCCATGGCAAATTATTTAATAGCACAAATTCAGAACATAAATGCATGGGGTCTAAAACAGTTTGTGATAAAAAAAACAGCATATTTTGAATAGAGCAGGCAAATTCAGAAGATACATAATTGTAAAGGGAAAACTGAAGACTAAATGGTATACCTTTGCAGGTGTGTATTTTCCCCTAAGGGGACAGGTAAGCACCCCCGTTGAGGTTGCAAATAGAGTCATATGAAAAATTAGGTACACTCTATGGTAATTGACTTTTTCAACATATTTCAATAGGCTAACAGATCTTTATTTCAACAGTGTCAATAGATAAAATATCAGTAATGGTGTACTGTGGAAAAAATATACCTTTGCCATCAAAAGCTGTATTGCTTTCTTTAATTACTTCTTGCAGGCATTTTTTTAAACTGCCTGCCAGTCTCTGACATTGTGGTTGATTTACTAAAGGCAAATAGCCTGTTCACTCTGCAAGGGAACTTTCCCTTTACTTAGTGAATATGGTGAAAATTCAAGATGCAAAGAATACCCAATCATGTACAAGGAAAAAAAACAACATTTTTTGCTTGCACATGACTGGATGATGGAAGTGAGCAAAGATTCACCCCATTTACTAAGCTAAGTGGAAATTACCTTGCAAAGTAAACTGCCTATTTGCTTTTAATAAATCAACACAACTGTGTGAAGTTTTTGACCATTTGTTTACGTAAAATATCCTCAGTTGCCAGATATTTGTGGGTTTCTGTGCATAAACTGCCCATTTGAAAATCCCCCTACAAAATTTCAATGGGTATCAAATTTGGGTTTTGACTAGGGTAGCCCATATTCCTTCTTTTTCAGTCATTCTGATTGATGGAAGTGGTGTTGTGCTCTGGATCATTTTGATGAAAGAATAATTTCCAGTTTAATTTTAACTTTTGGGCCTCACACTCTCTTTAGGCACACTTTAATATGAATCAATAGTTAAATTGTTGACTGCAAACCGGCTGGCCCTGATGCAGCAAAGCAAAGCAACCCAAAGCATGAGATTTCCACTAACATGCTTCATAGTTGTTACGAGGTTCTTCTCCTGAAAACTGCCTTCGCTTTGCAGCAAACATGTCTACTTTTATTGTGACCAAACAACTTTATCTTTGAGTAATCAGTCTCCCTGGTCTTTGCCTATATGTTCAATAGCAAACTGTAATCTTGCTCTATGTTTTTTGTGGACAGCTTTTTTTTTGGACAGAAATGCTTTTTCTTAACACACCTCACATGCAAGTTGAATTGGTGCAATCTCCATCTGATTGTAAATGCATGCACGGTTGGAAAGTTAGCTGTAATAATTGAAAATAACAATTGGGGGTTCTTGGAGACTTCTTTTAGCATCAAATGGTCAGTTCTTGAATTGAATTTGCTGGGCTGGCAAGTCCTGAACAAATAACAGTTGTTAGAAATTTACACCACAATTTTATTTTCATTACAGTGGAATGATTTTTAAAATGATTTGGCCATCTTTTTTAATCCCTTGCCAGACTCATTCACACCATTATTTCTGAGTGCATTAGATAAATCTCATAAATTATGAAATAGCCACCGCTACACCTCTTTCCCAATTAAACAATGTATTTGTTATACACCTGTGAAATGAGCACAGATGCAGTACATGCTTTCCAGATAATATTTTCAATATTATATGATCGAGACAAAAAAAAAGGTATATTTTTGTCACATCATAATCCACAACATTTTTACAAAACCAAAGTACAATATAGAAATCCCACCATAAAACAAACAGAACTGTCTTTAAAAACACAGCTACCTGTTATTATGCTCAGTTGTGTGTGTGTGTGCAACTGAGCATAATTTCCTTTTTCTATGGATATTCAACTTAACCCTTATATTCTCATGATATCTTCTTCTTTCCCTCCATGGAAACCAAGACACTTTTTTTTGTATATTGCAACTGTCCAGCATGTAGAGGAACATATCTTGTTAAATTGAAAGAGCAAGGAACTTGATTCTAAATCCTCTCCTCCAAGCTTCCAAAGATAAAAAAATATATAAATGTGGCCAATGTGGCCTAGATCTAGGAATACTACTGCAAGACATCTCTTGAATCAAATGCAAAAGACCAAATTAGTTTACATGCTGAAATGCACGCCCAGGAGACAAAAATGCAAACAAAGCCAGAGCGAGTAGGCCTGTCCAAAACAGGAATCTTGTAACTTAGTTTGCCAAAGTGAGACCACTGGTTCCTCCACAGCAAATTGAGGTGCATCGCTGCCAAGGGATTGACAGACAGTATCCCTAATAGATGACAACTAGTAGAGATTTCAGCATTGTAGGGACAACCAAAGCGGCCAAAGCACTTGGAGAATAGGAAGCCGAAAATCTCTCTGCTATCCAAAACAACCGCTACAACAGGTTACCAATGTGGCTAATTGCTCTGGAGAAATATTTTTAAAGCAAATACAAAGTTGCTTAAAATTTTCTGTCATGGAAGTAGTGGACCATCTACATCTCCAGGTTAATGTAGGCCCAAAAGAGAGTCGAGGCGCAGAATCTAAAGAGCTACTTGCTGTTCACCAGTGCACCCTGCAAAAGAGTGGTTTCCAAGTTGCAGCCCAAAGACACAACCGGACTGGCACCAGCTAGCAGCTGGCAGAAAAGAGACAAGGTACAGAATCATAAGACAGGATCAAGGTCAAACAATCAAGAGGACTGGCGGCAAACAGGGATAGTAAAAAAACAGGCAGAGTTTGTAAAATGAATCAGACGCTACAACAGAGGTCACAGTAAAAGGAACCTGGAAAAATAATCGCAAGAGGTGTTTGCTCTGAGCATGTTTAAATAGCTTTCCCGGACATGACAACTGACTGGGTATCCAGCAGTAGTTCCTAAGAACAACCAGCAGAGGAAAAGGGAAGCACATGGAATGACTACCACTTGGAACAATTTTCCAGGGAGGGGGAAATCTGTTGCATGGTTAAAGATGAACAGGAATCAGGCCTGCATGAGAAACAGCAGAATGATTCTGCATTAATACATCAAATTATATTTTATACATTCAATTTTAATAAGAGAAAAACTCAACTTTTGTGCTGAAACTGTGTCAAAAGTCTCTCGGATAGACGAGTAAAATAGTTTTTGAAAAGTTAAGAAGGCAGTGTGTAAAACATAGAAATAGCTCGGGGCAATCTGGTACTTAAAGGAGAACTATGAGGTGAGTGATTTCCACTCATCCTCATAGTTACAGCCGTCCTGCGACAAAGAAGCTGTCACAGGTCAGCTATATTGATTGGGAAGTGAGCGAACACATACCATCGCTCGCTCACTTTCCAATCGTCTCCCTGCAGTGAGTGGTGACTGTCAGTCACTCCTCCCCGCAGTGATTCCCCCCTCCTCTCTCCGATCCTTCAGCGCTGAGTGGAGGAAGAGATGGGGACGGGGTGGGCAAAGTTGGCTCTGCCTCTAGATAGGCAGAGCCAGCTGTCAATCACGCAGCTGGGTGGATCCAGACAGTATTGTTGGCATCAGTCATGGCTGTGACGTGCTCTCAGTATATCGCGGGCAAAGGGAGTTGACAGTCCCACACACTGTGCGAATTTCAGCTGGTACATTAAAAACCGTCCGAAATTCGACCAGTGTATGGGCACCTTTACACATATCACCCACTGCTCATCCCAGGGAAAAACTTAAATGATGCCCAAGGTGGGGAAGAGGTTTGGCATGTGCCTGACCCACTTCATGCTGCAAGGTAGACCTACCTTTACCACCAGCTTAGCTTATAAAATGCTATTAGTCTAGGCAGCATGTAAACCCCATCAATGCCCTAGACCCAAAGTTTGTCACATCATTTACTTCTCTGTTTTTATTTTGTAATTGCCTGTCTTATTTGCTATATATTTTTAACAGTTGTACAATGTAACAATTTTCATCATTAATAAAAACAAACAAACACTTAAACAGAAAAAAAAATATGGAATTGCATATGATAGGACCATAAGATTGCAAAAATATTTCATATTATATCCACCCAATAATCTATGTATGCAAGTGCTTTGCCTCCACAATGCAGCTGTAGAATACTCTCATTTCTAATAAAGCACCAGCTTTTATAAAGAAAAATCCTGCAGATCAGACTATATTTGCTCTCGATTTCTGATGCAAATCACCCTAGGCTATATTGTGCTTTTGTGCCATTATCAAGCTGTTTCATACCCTGCCAGATTTTACCTTGATACTAGTAATATCACTCAAATAGGAGTGATCTCAGAATTTCCCTGAAACCTTAAAGGAGAAAAACAATACAGGAGATGGTAAGTTTGAAATAGAGTTTTATTCTACTATAGGTGAAGCTATGACATATTCCTATTAGGCAATGCCAGATAGAAAAGGCATGCCAACCCATTTTTCTGAACAAACTACTGGTTTGTTCTAATGTGGTCCCTTTTCACCATCTTTATAAGCTTGAAAGGTATAAATAATTGTAAATAATGAACTAAACAGCCAGTCATCCAAACTTGAACTAAAAATCTAAATGCAGGGAGTACTCTGCTGGCTCTCAAGAAAAACAGTAATAAACATTTTATTTATGTAGGCACACTAGTTTCCAACCTGACAAATGCAAAGCTTCGTTTGTCACAAATTGAAAATTGAGTTTTAGAAGTAATTCTCTTTATCTTACCTGGTTGCCCATGCAAGGGGGATTCGATGTGCAGCATAGACTGTGAAGGATAGAGGGCTGGTAAAATGTGAAGCGTCATGAGTCAAAGCTCCCTTGCGATCAGAATGCAGCACCATCTGCACTGAATGCATTACAATACAATTGTACCAAATCCAAGATGGCTGCTGTAAGGCTCTCTACTACTTTTTCTGTAAGATGGAAAGCAAAAAAGGAAAAAAATTAAATAAAAATAAGAACATCAGTAACAAGTTCAAGCACTTACATATTTAAATTTCTCTCATACATTTTTCTCAAATGTTACCACACTAACAAGATTACTGTGTTCATGAAATATTGTTGTGTCCTCCAGTATTGGCACAAGTAAACATTTCTCTACATGACTGACATTATCAAAAGGGAATCGGTACTGCTTGACCTGAATATTAGGTTATTAGTCGAAACATAATGATTATGTCATATAATTATTAGGCAAGCTGCTCAAATAAAATTAATGTAATAAATATACAATCAAGTGTAGGGAGAGTAGTGATGTATGACAATAACAGTGAATTGCTACAGTTTCACTGGGAGTCCAGACTGTTTTCTCCAATTCCTCTAAAAGAGAACAAAAACCAAACTTTTTTTGGCTTTACTTCTCTTTTACAGGAGTACTAATATTTACTAGTGTACTCCTGTGACCCATAGTCAGGATATAGCGGGCTACAGGCTGCAATATGCTAACAGAGCAATGCTGTGCTGCAGCATAGGGGACAAGTTGAGTTGAACTTGTATTGAAGGGAAGTCCAAAGCAGTCAAAAAAAAGGTGTGGGTGAATACCAAAAGGTGCCAAGGCAACCATTAAGGATCATAACATGAACATATCACATTGCTAATGTCCCCTAATGAATGAAAAGAAAATCCTCTGCTCCAGTAGTAGATTGAAGGACACAGATCTTTACCCTTATATGGCTGTTTTATTGACTGATGACCTGTTGCCAAGATTTATATATTTACTTAGCAATGTTGTCTTCCATTCCTACACATTTGTTCACCACTTGCAACTTCTGAACTTGTTGGTACATGCAGGGTATAGCCAATGGACTAGTTTCCAACTTTCGAGAGGCAGTGGTAGTACCAAGTAAATTGAGTTGAACTTGTACTGAAGGGAAGTCCAAAAAAAGAGGAGTGGGTGAATACCAAAAGGTGCCAAGGCAACCATCAAGGATCATAACATGAACATATAACATTGCTACTGGGAGAACCTTGTGTCCTAAGCTGGCATCTGCTGATGCCATCACATCCACCAGGCAAAACTTGGTAAAAGGAGAAAGGAAAGCCAAAAGGAAGTCATGGTCATCAGATAAACCCTGACACTAACCACATCCAACTTGTGCAAAAGAAGTTTGTTAGAATGCAAAGGGGAAGGACAAAGAGAAGACAACACAATGTCCTTATTGAGGTGATAAGACGACATAACCTTAAACAGAAATGAGGGCCAGGTTTTGCCAGAAGAGGACAAGTAATGAGTGACTTGCAACACAAGATATCCAGCTCCAAATCCCTCTGAACAGAAGGCATGTCAATAAAGAAGGCCACATTTTAAAATAAGGTCATAGGAAGGATCATTTATCTCAGTTTAAAAGATGAACCCTAAAGTGCAGTAAGAGCAGATTTAAGTTTCACAAAGCACAGGGAGTTCTAACAGGAGGAAGGATGAGTAACACCTGGGATAAAAGTATTGTGATAGTTTGGGGAATATAGCACAATGGTGAGCGCCAAGTGACCACTCCTGAAGCTGACTAACATAAAAGGACAGTCTTTATTCATTCAAAAATCAACAATCCATGAACTTCACAAAATAACTTGCTTTGATTCAGCATAAATGTAACAGAACAGTTCATTGACTTTCATCAATTCCAGAAAACGAAAGGTCCCCCTGCACTCCTCACAGCGCTCCTGGTCCAAGCTGAAACAGTGGTGCCCGCAGTGACAATCACGGATGGCGCCGTGCACAGTGGTCAATGAATGATAGAAATCACCAGCACTCCATAAATGAAATACAAAAAATGTCCATTTATTTGGACTAAATGTCACACATATCAAATAATCCAACATTTCGGGACCACGCAGGGTCCCTTCATCAGGGCAGAAATGTGACAAGTGAGTAAGACATACCATACCACATACATATATACCCCTCAGTGTGGAGAAAGTTTAAAAACCCCACCCCATGACATCATCATGGCATCAGAGCACATCTGAGAAGAAAATGCCATATTCAATACATAGTAAAAACCATAGTAAAAACATGAGTGCAAAGAAGAAATAACAATCAGTAAGGTACCTGATATATGCAGCCAGATGATGTTGGTATATGAGCCGTGGGATAAGAATAAGCCAGAAAACAGATCAGAGGGACAAGACGCTACAGCCTCACTACGGGTAACCTATCAGCGATTTCTATGAAACCCTGAGGCATTGTGTGTGAGGATCAAGTCCCCGCCCAAGGATCATGATGCACATGTGCAGTAAGGAGCTAAGCCAAAGCAGTGCAGATCACGGGACCAGCAGTGTGCAAGCAAGGAGGGAGGAGCCAGTACAAGCTAATTTCACACCGAGCGGTCCACATACCAAGATTGTAAGGAATCAGGTCAAAGGGGAAAAAACCAAGACCATAAAATAAGTAAAGAAACATAAGAAGGAAAACAAGGAAAAGAATCGGGAAAAGGGGTAAAGTCCTCCCAACTACACAATAAATCAATTCGGGACTTTTGGTTGGCGCTGATCCATGTAATAAATATGACACTCCAAAACACATCTTTTCCACCAAGAAGGGCTGCTATAAAAGTTACAATTGTAATATTTGCAACTCCTTGATTACTGGTGAGTTTTTCTCACACCCACATACAGAAAGAAAATATGCTATTCATGGATACTTTAATTGCCTTTCCGATTAATGCATCTATATCTTTAAATGCCCCTGCTCCCTTGTATATGTAGGCAATACTATAAACCAATTTAAAAAACCTTACCAGAAACATAAAAGTGATATTAAGCAAGCGATTGATTTCAAACAGCAGGGCAAGGACATGGACCCCCAACAAACCAGTGGCAATACATTTTACAAAACCCCACCGGGAGGTAATCGGGACAACATCCTATTACGTAGAGAGGCGTTCTGGATACACACGCTTAATACGGTTAAACCCATGTAAACCCATTTAGGCTGGTAATGTTTAAAAAAAATTTCGATTAATCGAACACGAAAATTGTAATCGATTAATTGCGATTAATTATAACGCACATACAGATCCAACTACATTGGCCTATACACATACAGCACAGCAATGAAGTAATAAAATAAACTAGGATCACGCTAATCCAGCACGTTATTAATCTCACGTGCCCCACTCAATATGGCCGCCGCTTGAGTGTGGCAACTCAGAATAATAACGTGCTGGATTAGTGTGATCCTAGTTCATTTTATTACTTAATTGCTTTGCTGTATGTGTATAGGCCAATGCTGTGTGTGTGTGTTTAGAAGTGGTAATATTTTTAAATTATATGTTCCCAGAGGAAATTATAAGCATTTAAAGTAATGTGTAAATGATCTTTTTAGTGCAAATGTACGCAGTCATTAGTATAATTAGAAGTAATTGTGTTGCTGCCTCCATAAACCATGTTCTGAGCACATCAATCTAATGAACACAGCAATTTGAAACAAAACTTTTTCTACAGAAAATATGCTGACAGCATTGCCAGGTTGCCAACTTAGTTCTTGTCTAGACGCCAGCATTTCAGTGCGGTTTAATGCACCTGACACGCTGCATGTAAACCTAGAGCACTGTTTAATATCATTGTAGGACATGGTATTGTTCAGCTACCTGCCATTACGTGAGTACACTGCAGGTTCTGCATGGAGCACTTTAGGTGTGGTTTACATAGAGCTTAGTGATAGCGATATTTGTGACCAATAAAATAGATTTTGCAAGAAATCAATAGCTCCGTGGCTAACGAAGGGAAGGGGGGAGGAGTCCAGTGATGTCACAGACTCCTCCCCTTCCCTTCGTTAGCCACTTGGGGAAGGGGGGGAGGAGTCCGGTGACGTCACGGACATCGACGTCACCGGACTCCTCTCCCCTTCCCCAAGTGGCTAAC